GCCATGCACCCGGCCGTGGCGGTGGGGTTGGTGTTCGGCGGCTGCTGCAGCAACGTGGTGTTCCTGGAGCTGCTGGCCAGGTGCGGAGCCGGGGAGAGGCTTTGGGGGCAGAAGGAGGGGTTAAGGGCAGGAATGGGATCGGGGGTCCGGTGAGGGGCCCCGGGGCTGGGGGCCGCAGGGTCTCCTCCGCCGGCTTCCCCACTTGTGAGGGGAGGAAGCGGCAGCGGCGCCCAGGGGGTCTCCGGGAGGTTGGAGGAGGGGACTGGAGCAGGAGACTGGTGTGAGAGGGTTTGGGGTGATGGGGGGCCTGCCGAGGGGGGACCCAGGGCTGGCACCCAGCCTAGGGCTGGCTCCGAGGGGGTCTGCAGCCCCGGCGGGGTGGACGGGCCCCTCCTCACTGCTTGAGGGGCAGCCTCAGGCCCCGGGGCTCCTCATCAGGGTGCCAGGAGGAGCCTGAGTGTGGATGGCGAGGCCCTGGCCTTGTTGTGTCACCGTCTGATGGGTTTTGGGGGGGTTTGGCGCTGTCCCCCTTGGCTTGGGCCCAGTCTGGTCCTATCATGGGTCACTTTGGTGTCCTGCCCAGGCACCGGGGGTCTCTCTGCTCGCACAGGGACCACTGCATCGGTCTGGCCCTACAGCATCCTCACCACCCTTGCTCTCTGATCCCAGCGCCTCGTACAAGTAACAGCTGAAATCCCGTGGAAAAGACATGCAGGAGCTGGCTAAGGGTTCCCAGGGACAGCAGGCAGGGCCAAGGGAACATCGTCCTTCTGGAAATGTGATCTTAGGCAGCGTCACGTGGCTGCAAAGCCGACATGATGAGGGCAAAGAGTCCTTTGTGGCACTTGGAGTGAAGGCGAGTCGCCAGGTTGCAGAGAGAGGAGGGCTGACCTTTGGGGTGTATCTGAGCACTGCGTCATCTTCCTCACCCTTAGGGAGGAAGGCTGGTGTGGCTTGGAAAAGGTGGTGGATTTGTTTTCAGGGCTGGCCAGCAAGTTGTGAAGGCAAAAGTGCTAGACATGACTGAACTGGTTCTGTGTCTACAATCACACTTAAGTCGGTGTGGAGCTGCATCCCCTGACTATTCAATACTATCTCCAGTCATGCCCAGGCTTTTGAAACAGCTAGTTAAAACGCGCCCTTACTTCCTCCTCATTATCATCCCAGATTCTTAAGAGAAAAAGGGAGTGTAGAAGAGAGCCTGACTCTGTAAGCCAGCAGTGGGGATGTTTGCTTTGAAGTGGGAGATCAGGAGGCAGGTACTTAACCCAAGGTTGCACAATCACTCAGCAATCCCTGGATAAATCAAGAAGCAGTTACTGGAGGCAGAGACCTTGCCTGGCGGGTTGTCTTGGGGATTACTCTAACCTCTGTGTTTCCCGCCTGGCTTGTGCTGCAGTGTTGGTGAGGGTGGGGAAATGGGTCCCTTCGAACTGGAGAGCTTTGGGTCTGGCTTCTTGCATTTGCCACTTGGCTTGTGTCTCCTCCAGCCAGACCTTAAAACAAAAGTGAGCTATTTGGCCCTGTTCAAAGACTACATTAGGTGTCTAAGCCCCAGAAAGAATTTTGAGCAGCAAATCCAAGAAGTGCAATTGCAGACATCAAGGAAAAGCTGCTTTTCACACACAAGCTTCTCTTAAGCATTGCCACTCATCCACTTTAGAAATTCCCCTGTTACTAAGAGCTCCTGTCCCCTCACTTGCCCTCCACCTTTGGTCCCTAAATTGGCATAACACTGGTTATTTCTTTTTGTCTTGGTGTTACCTGAAGGGAAAAAGTCCCTCCTGAAGATGAATCTTCCCATAACAAGCAAAGTCCTGGAATAGGATCACAGGAAAAGGCAGTGACCAGATTGATAGTCCAGTGAGGAATAACAAAGGTGACTGGAAGAAATTTGCTCAGGATTTATGAGGACAGAGTAAAGGAATGAGAACTGTTTAGTCTAGAGATGCCTGAGGACAGACAAAAGACTTTAAACGTGTGGAGAACAGCTGTGGAGGAGATAAGTACTTCTGCTGGGCTCTGGAGGCAGAACAAGAAATAAGGGGCTTAAAATGATATGAAAGAGATGTAAAACAGACCAAAAAACCGGGTTTGCTCCCTCAATGTAGTGAAGTATAATGTAGGAGAGAGAGCAGGGAAGCTCCTCGTTGGAGGTTTTCAAGAGAAAGTTAACTAAACTCCTGTCAGCATAACAGAAGGAGGCCTGGACAGGGTGGGAAACACCATCAAGCTCATCCCATCTACCCATGTTTGGAGCAACCTGACCTGTCCTGCTGATGTCCCTTCCTGATTGACCTGGGGAGGTCTGTCTTGAGCCGTGATGCCAAAGCTCAGTGTGCAGTGTACATACAGGCCTGGTTAGAAAGCCCACGATCTGCTCTTCACCTTCTGAAGCTGTGTCCTTGTGAGGTGCCTTCCCTGTAAGAACAGTTGAGGCTCTGCGTAGTAGATCTCAACGGGGTTTCTTCGCTGTATGGTGCCAGTGAAGAGGTTGCTCTTCTGCAGGGGCCGTTGAAGCCATTCCCTATGAAATGTGGAGTCTTCTGCAGTGATGCGTGGAAGTTTTCCTTGGAGAAGTGATTTGGATGCACTGAACTCAGCCTGAGTGCCCCAAACTGATGTGCAGAAACGGGGCTGGCCTGTTTGTGCTCCGCTGACATGACAGAGCCCTGCTCGGGCTGTTTCATCCCACCATCTGCTGGGGCTGCTAGACACTGAACAGCCCAGGCAATTCCATCCTAGGAGGCAGGGTGACACTTTCATCCTAGTGTTTCTGCATTGCTTCTGGAGGACTGTCTATCAGTTGCTAGAGCTAAAGCAGATCTTTGGTGGATATATCCAGACTTCTTGTCACTTCTTTTAGGTCTATCAGTATGTTAGGTTTGTGAGTCAAAGGCATGGGCAGATATAGCCTTGGAGGGGTTTTATTGTTTGTTTGTCTGTCTTTTTATTATCAGTCAACACATAACCCTGTGTCAACACTTTACTGATAATGTGAGGTCGTATGTACAGCAAGTGACTGAATGCAAGGGTCTATGAATTGGGAGGAAAGAAAGTCTAGTGCGTGGAAACAGTGTTGGTTTATTCCAAGTTTACACTTGCTTTGTGTTCCCCTACAGAGATAATGTTTACAATCCTGGAGCCTGGCCTCTGTCTCTGGCTCAGTATCTCTTTCCCCCAGTAACTTGTGAACCTCTTAACCTCATTGCACAGCAGGGATTGAAGTCTCACAGACAGTTAAGCTCTGAAAAACGTGAATACTGGCAGGTGGGTAGAGGGGAGGGGCTCAGGCTAGTGCCTACTCCCTGAAAAATGCAGGGAGAAGGTGGCCTTTCCAGGTCCTGTTTGGTGACAGCCACGTGCCAGCTCGGCATTAACCAGAGCACTGCTGCTGGTTCTGAGGAGTCAGGGGTGACAGAGGAGATTTTTTGGAGGAGACTGGCACTTTGGCTCTGCTGCCAGGCAGACAGCTTGGTTATTCCTGTTCTCCAGTGCATCTCTCAGCTTGCCTTCTACAAAACTGTGTCTCAGCCCAGTCTCTACCTGCTTGTGATGGTGTGTTGTGTGAGCAAGCTTTGTGCTTGTGTAGCAGGGTGGGGGGCAGGAATCAGTGAGTGGCCTGCCGCTTCTCCATCAAGTCCTTGGCCTCGGTTTCTATTTTGCACTAGAGAAAGGGGAAGTACTCACTCAAATTTTCTGTCTCCCACTGCAAATAACAGCAAGCTTTCCGATTATCTGACATGTCACGGCCTCCTCTGAGCCCGCAGCTGACTCTGTGCTGCCCAGGGAATCCTCTCCTGCTCCCCGTAAGCTTCTTAGGAAGGAGGCAGGTCTGCAGCAGACATGTCTGCTAGGAATGGGGGAGCAGCGTGCAGGGGGTGTTTGTTTAATGTCAGGCTGTTACGGGTTGTCTTGCCCTTGTGTGCAATTCCTCTTCCCTCCGAATAATCATACAGAGTTGATTTGCTCAAAGGTGGTGTCATTTCCACTACAAAGGTAGCGATAACTGCAGTGCCTGGGTCTGTCTGGGAGGACAAAGATGCTCAGCTAAGAGGAGCTCTTTTTCGAGGTCTGACTTCTGTGACTTTTGATACCTTGTGGAGTTTGAAAACTTCAGTGCAAAGCATGTGTCGCGTTAGCAAGCTCCCTGGCTTGTCTGTCATGTGGCATTTAATGCCACCACATTTTTGGGTTCCCATGATGAGCTGTTTTAGGTTCTTTCTTGAACCTACAGCCAACCTCTTGGCATCCAGCAAATGCAGGAGGGCAGAGAGCTAAAGCTTTCTGAGTAAATGGAGAGCAGGTCTGTGCTCGTGTTCACGTGCTCTGGGGATGGGGTACAAGCAGGACCACAGACTCTGTGCCTCACTCTGCAGACACAGACCTGACCTCGGCCCTTCCCTCACGCGGTGGAAATAAGGGCTATTAGAAATGCTGCTGCCTTCCTCCTGGGTGGACTCATCGTTTCCCCAGACCTCTAGCAAACACAGCAGCTTGTAGGTAGGCAGAGAGCCCTGTCAAAACCACTTCCCCATGAGAAAGAGGGAGATCCAGTTTCAGTTTGGTTATGTTGGTGCCTGATGTTGCTCATTCAGATCCCGTACCCTGGCGGGATGTTATTCAGACCTGTGAGATACGACCGATTCCCTCTTTCATTTCCTGATCCCATTCACCACGTGCCCCCATGACAGGGTGGCTGCTCATCTCTTCTTTGGAAATGTTTGAGGAAGGGATTGCTGCACAAGTATCTACAAGTACAGGTGAGTAAATACTTTCAGGGAAGTGTTTAACAAAGGCAGCGTGAGAACCTGGACAGATAAAGCAGTAAAGCCCCTCCAGGTTGATGCTCACTCTGGGATGATGAGCTGTTAGGCTCTTTTTCTTGGAGCCCAGTGCAGTGTTTACTCTCCATGACATTGCTCTTACGCTTAGTGTTTCTTCTCCCTGCCTGCAGGCAGTTTCCAGGATGTGGGAACATAGTGACATTCTCCCAGTTCCTGTTTATCGCGGTGGAAGGCTTTATCTTCGAAGCCAACTTTGGGAGGAAGAGGCCGGCCATACCAATAAGGTACAGTTGATCTGAACGCTTTTGCTAGGCACAAATTGATCTATTATCTCAAGAAGTGTTTAATAAAATGGCTTATCCATTTATCCTGTCTAAATCCCATCCATCCTGCAGAATTTGCGAAGCCACATTGAGAACCTGTCATGCCTGATAAAATACGAGCTTCTTGTTTATTGAGAATTCTTAATAGGAAATTGCCATCAGATACTTTCCTGCCCAAGAAACAGGGCAATGTTTTACACAGTTAAGAGTTTGCTGTGTTTGAAAAGCTTGCTGTCTCTCTGGAGCTTGATACAACGGGCGTGGGAGAGACAAGTTTCCTGGAAACCTGGCCAAATTCACTTTTGTATTTCTCCATCAGGGCTGATCTTGTCCTGGCGATGGCCTGACACGTTCATGCTCTCCTCCCTGGCCCTCAGTGGCTGTAGCAAAGTGAGGAGGTTTTGTGAGGTTCCTTAGCAGACTGCCTAGTCTGTGGCAAAACAGAGTGCTGTGCTGAGTGCTCGGGACAGAGATCCTCATGACAGAAAGTTGAGGGCAAGTTTAGTGCATTCATGGCTGCGTCCCAGTGAGGGACTTCAGTTGGTGGGAGGCTCTCTAGCTTCGGTGTCGAACCATGGAGGTGTTAAGCCTGGAGTTGAATGTTTTCTCCTTCCACTCAGGGTAGCGATACCTGCTGGCAGAAAATGAATCCCCTCAAATCAAGCCTTGTGTTATGCCACTGTCCATAGGAAAGAGGGGTCTGGGGGAAGTCCAGGTTAGAAGATTCCCACTGGGGAATAAACTCAGTTCCCCTTTGCTGGGATTGGCACAGGCTGAGCCAGTGCAGGTCATCCTGTTTCCTGTTCAAAGGACTTCCCTGCTACATCCAAAGTGGACTGATCTCCTTGTTAGTCCCTAGCACAGACCCAAGAGCTGGGTGGGCTCCTGCTCAGCCCCAGACGTTTCCTTGCAACCTGTAATCTGTTCCCAAGGTGTCTTCTCCCATCATCCCAGGGAGGTTCATGCACAGCTATCAGCTTTTTTTGTGTGTGTGTGTGTGTTTGTGTTTCAGGTACTACTTCATCATGGTGGCTATGTTTTTCACTGTCAGTGTGGTGAATAACTATGCCCTGAACTTAAATATCGCCATGCCGCTGCACATGATCTTCCGATCAGTGAGTACTGTCATACCATCCTTTTCCTCCTCATGTGCCATCTCTTCCCATCACCTCTGCAAGAGCTGTCCCTGGTGCATGTGTTCTGCCACCCCCTCTTTCCCTGCAGGCACCAAAACCCTGTGCAAATATTAAACTTGTGAGGAGAGCAACCTTGCTCTGACGGCTCAGCTTCAATTCTCACTTTCACAGTGTCGATTATTAAAGTTCAACTGAAGGAACGAATGGGAAAACAGAGGCTCAAACAGGCTTCCTATTTTTCCAGAGGTGGTTGGGGAAGTAACAGTGACAAAACCAAGCCCATGCTCTGGCTGTTGGCCCTGGATAAGCTGAATTGCTGGCCAGAGGGTCGCAGCTTTCCTTTCCACCCCACAGCTACACCAAGTGGTTCATGTCCTAGTGTAGGTGTCTTGGTTAAACACCGCAGCTCAGAGAGCATGGATTTGGCCTAGTTCCACCTGCACTGTTACAGCATAGGTCTTTGCTTTGGAAAATGCTGTTAAAATGCATCTTCACTTAAGTGTAGATGAATGTCAGGCTAAAACATCTGTTAAAACCAAAGAAAATGGAGCCCCAGTTGTAGGGAATAAGAAAATCTGCTGGGCAGATCTGCTGAGCAGGGGCTGTTCTCCCACAACACATCATAGGGTTGAGATACCTCGAGTCGGGAGAGGTTAAAAAGAAGAAAACCAGACAACAGTCTAAGAGCCCTGTCCTGCATTAACCGTGAGGGATGGTTCTTGTATTGCAGCCCTGCAGTCAATCTATGGGGCTGTACTTCTGTTCCAAATTAAAAAACCACTGTGATTTGGCCACATTCTGGTCTGTAGCATGCACTCAGTTCATGGGTGGACTAGAAAAAGGGGAGGCCCATTGACTACAAGCTCTTTGTACCCTGTTTGTCCCAGTATCCTTGTTCCCAACCCAACCAGCTCAGCTTCCCCCTCCTCCTAGCTGAAGTGGACTTTCCCCACCCTGTCAGTTTCCCTGATCCTATTTCTGTTGGTGTTTTGGCATCAGTTGTATTGAGCTTGTGGTGTTTCTCTGGGGCAGGTGTCCCAGTCCAGGGAATTTTGTCATACTGACTTTCTGTTTTCTTTTTCTCCTCCTCTCTCTTCTTTCCAGGGCTCTCTCATAGCAAGCATGGCTCTAGGTATCATCATTTTGAAGAAAAGGTAAATCACAAGCCTCTTACATAATCAGAGAATGCTTTGCCATTGACTTATTCCTGACTAGTGTTTAGTGCCTTCCCCTTTCCTGTTAAATATTCTTGTTTTACTGATGGGGAAACTGGGGCAGAGAAGTTGTGCCTAGACTAGAGGCTGGAATAGTTTCCTCTTCTGCATTTCCACCACCCTCACTCCTTCGTTCAAGGGAAGCATGGACTGAAAAGAGAGATTTTACACATGACTGCAGCCTTCTGTGTTAGCTCACCACTCCTGATGGTGGGTGTACTGGCTCTGCCTGCAATGGAGTTAACTTCCTCCTTTAACTTTCCTCATGGTGGTGTGTTTGGGTGACTAAACCAGTGTTGATAGCACACTGATGTCTTGACTGTTGCTGAACAGTGCTTACACAGTGTCAGGGCTCTCTGTTTTTCCCCCCTCTGCCCCCCAGTCAGTAGGCTGGGGGTGGACAAGAAGCTGAGAGGGGCTACAGTTGGGACAACTGACCCAAAATGGCCAAAGGGGTTTTCTACACCATATGACGTTGTGCAGTAGAAACCAGGTTAGAGGAGGAAGGGGGTAGGGGAGAGCTGGCCTCCAAGATGGCTGTGCTTGTGGGAGGTGGTGAGTGATTGCCTTTGCAGTATTTTTGTTGGGTTTTTTACCCCATCACCACGAGTTTTCTCGGTTTAGGCTGGCTCTGAGGAAGGATTTCTGTGCAGAAGGGGCTGTTGGGCGTTGGAATGGGCTGCCCAGGGCAGGGGGGAGTCCCCGGGATCCCTGGAGGGGTTGAAGAGTCGGGCTGAGCCAGCGCTGAGGGATCTGGGGGAGTTGGGAACGGTCAGGGGGAGGGTCATGGTGGGGCTGGAGGAGCTGCAAGAGCTTTTCCAACCCAGATGATTCTGGGATTCTGTGAGGTTGGGGGAATGACCTTGGCTGCTGGCTGGGGTCAACCCACTGCAGTGGGCAAAGATATCAAGGACAGGAGGGTCCTCCCGGCTGCTTGGGGTCTGACTGTTGGACCAGTGTGGGCCCATCCCCACCGTTGCTATGCAGAGATCCACGCTGGCTTTGGCCTGAGAGGGATCCTCTGCCACGGGCAAGGAGATCTTGGTCCAAATTCTTCTGTTTTTTTTTCAGTTGGAAGAAGTTGGCCTTCTCTTCCACTAATGTCCAGCGTTAGGTAGTGAGTACGTGCCCATCACCCCAAGTTCACACTGGTGTAATGGAGCAAAATTCAATGCAAGGGAGCAGTAGATAAACAACGTGGGTCTGGGCCGGGTCACTGACATCTCTCTTCTCCCCTGTGCAGATACAGCGTATCTAAATACACGTCCATAGCCCTGGTGTCTGTGGGGATCTTTACCTGCACTTTCATGTCTGCAAAGCAAGTGGTAAGGCTTGGAAAGGGCCAGAGGTCATAGCTGTGAACCTTATTGACAGGAGGAGCTGCTGTCAGCCCCTTCATCAGAAATTCCCTTTGCCTGGCTGTTAACAGAGAGACAAGATGTCTCCTAGCTCTAAACCTCCTCCCTGAAAGCCCTTGTTCCAGTCTCATTTTTCTTTCGTTTGGAGGGAAGGGATGCACACACACTTGTGTGGTTTAACTTAATTACAGATGCCTTTTAAACTGTTCAGGTTGCTTTTTGCTGAGAATAAGCCATTTTTTTTGCTGCAGAGATAACAGCTAGAAGCCCTTACTGTGCCCTTACTCTGGTGTGTTGCAGTTAGGAGCAGGTGAATCTTAAACAGAACTCAGCCATCTTAAGTCTTTGCTCTTTTTACCCCAGAGGAGTTTGTTAGCTTTCAGGCTAGATTTTTCCAGACCTGTTGTCATCCAGTGTGACTTCCTATGACCCTTGAAATAAAGTGCATATATTTGGAGAACAGAGGGAGTGAAGAAAATCCACGTGTAACACCGATTTGAGCTTTTCTTGAGTCAGCACCCACAGCCTGATTTTGTCAACTGAAGACAGAAAAATGGCATAAAGTGGTGGTCAAGTGAAAATCGGTTGCACTTAATCCAGCTCTGAGAGATTGGAAATGAAACAGGGCTGTCAAACCTCCAAGTGCCCCATCACTTTTGATACTCTCCGAATGTCTGAGGAAGGTCTGTGCTGTGCAGCCTTGCTCTATTAATCCCAATAAACTCTCAGCAGGCATGGGGTTTTGGTATAGTATGGACAGTTGTGGTAGAGGTCAGTAATCTAATTTGCCCTAAACCACAGTGAAAAAGAGCTGAGCCAACTCAAGCTGCTTAGAGTTTTACCCTCAGCTAACAGCATCTACAGGCCTGGTTTCCTCCATGTTCTTGACCATGAGCCAGAGCCCTGGTTTTAGTACCCGACTGGGGCTTGGCCAGAGCCCTTGTTCTTTCCTGCACACCTCTCTGAGATGGGGATGGAGGAGCCTGCCAATGGGCTGTCTGTGGGAGCTTTCTAAGTAGTACTGATTATTTTTCTCCTTGAAGAGTTCGATCTCTCACTGAGCCAGGGCATTTCTTTCGGAAAAGCTACTTTCTTGATCAGACATTTACAATTTTTGCTGGCAGCTGGTGCATTTCCCTGAGTGGAAAGCAAAGCGTGTTGTAGTTGCTCCCACCTCTGTTCAGTCAGGGAAACAACTCTGGAGAATGTGAGACCTTGGGCAGACTTTGCTGTATGGGCTTGTTTAGAACACAACACACAACCCAAGAGTGAGGTACAGGCAGGTGTGAATGAGCTGCAGGGATCTGGTAGCTCGTGGTGACTGTGTTGTGTCTCCCTCCACCAGGCATCTGACTCCAGCTTAAATGAAGAGGACGGACTCCAGGTTTTCTTGTGGTGGCTGCTGGGTATGTGAGTGCCATCCTGGCCTTGCTGGGATACCGGCAAGACGTGGCTCTCTGATGGCCTTGGCCGTGTGGGTTGTGCAGAGCAGACTGTGGTGGGAGCCCCCGCGCTGAGGTTAAGTTGTGCTGAACGTCTGCTGGATGTTGATTTGCAAAGAACGGGGTTTTGTGGTGCTCGTTAGCAGCTTTGCACAAGGAGATGCTCTTCATTTGGCTGACAGGTTAAATATGTCACCTGAGGGGTTTCTGCAAGGCAGCAGCTTAGTGACAGAATGAGACCACAGTCCTGCATGTTTGCAGATAATCTTGATTTCTCTTTGCAAAAGCAGCCCTATCTGATGCTGTGGGATATGCTGCATAGAGAGAGAGAGGGGCTGTAGATGGTTCAAGTGTTCATTCAGCCCAGTATTTCAAGTCTTGAGTCTATTTTTATACCTCCAGCCTAGGCCTGTTGGTGGCTTTTCCTGGAACCTGGGATTGATGTCGTGTCAGTAGTGGCAAATGGCCCCATCCCTGGTATCCTCCCAACTCCACGTGCCAGTGCTGAGTCTCTTTAAGAGGTGTTCGGATGTCTCTTGGCATCTCAGCCATCGTAATATGATACCTGTGTCCCCAAGACCATTATCAGTTTTCTTATCAAGTCTGTACGTTTCTTCACTGAAAGCCAAATTGTGGGAGTCTTCAAGGTGGTTGACTTGAGCTCTGCCCCGTTTGAGCAGTGTTGCAAGGCTGTGCTTCTGTTCCAGGGATTGCTGCGCTCACCTTTGCCCTCCTCATGTCTGCCAGGATGGGGATTTTCCAGGAGATGCTGTACAAGCAGTTTGGAAAACACTCCAAAGAGGCTCTTTTTTACAACGTAAGTCACTGTGGCTTTTCCTGGGTGGATAGAACAGCTTAGAGAGTTGCTTCCCCTCCCACCCTGTACTCGAAGGGTCCCACACTGCAAGGCTGGAGCAGCGAGGAGTGTGCTCTCAGCCGGAGGTGTGAGGCTGCTTAACATCATGGCTTTTCTTTTCTCTCCAGCACGCGTTACCACTCCCAGGATTTCTCCTCCTTGCCCCAAACATCTACCACCATGCTGTCCTCTTCAGCCAGTCCGGTAAGTGTTGCACAGACACATCTTTGCTCTTGTACCTTTCTGTCCTCTGGAAAATGCTGTAAGCTTTCAGTTCGGCAGTTATGCCTGTCAGGCTGCTGTCTTGGGATATTCAAGCCCTTTGAACTTTCAGGTTTGATAGAAAGCCAAAAAAACCCCAACCCATGCTGTCTTGAGGACATTGTCCAGCCTTTTCCTACCAGATGCCAGCATACCAGGACGAGAGGTGATTGCTGAGGGCCTGGCTGTGGGCCACTGGGGGTTCGCCTGGTGCCACAGCAGCTGGCAAAGCTGAGCCCTGAGTTACTGTTTGGATCAATGTGGTTGGAGCCCAAGTTTCTCACTAAATGCCGCTGCCTACACCTTACTGGGCCCAGCAAGATTGCTCATCCATCCCCCTTGAGCTATACATCTCCTTAAGTTTAGTAGTAAAATTCACCAGGCTTCCCCTATCCCTGATCTTGTGAAGCTGCAGGGACCTTTGCTGCATAGGTTTGCTGATCCTCTAATCCCCTCTGAGTAGGGGGATTGTTTGCATGCGTGGATCACTTTAACCTGTTCATTAATATCATTACAAAATATTTCTAGCACGCTACACCTCTCTCAAGGAAAGTGTGAGGTGATCCCTGGGGAAAGGAATGTGATAGTTCAAAAATGGGAATAACAAGGCCAAATCCTCAACCACAGGCAGAAACGCAGACCCATTGGCTTTTGTTCTACTGGTGCTACGTAGGCTTTGCCTTGCTAGTGCTGTCAGCCTCTCGGAGCCGTGCAGTTGATTAATCCAGATTTAATAGTAGGACAGCCCTGATAGGAGAAAGCAAGACAGAGCTTTTCTTTTAATGTCTTTTTTCCTTTGCCTACTTCTTCCGTCTTCCTTCCCTACTGAAGTCCAAGCAGAAACACCTGCAGACTTTCTTGTATTTGTCATTTACCACAGTAAATGTTTTCTGCCCTTGGGCCACAACAACCCCCAGCAGGGCTCCAGGCCTGGGGAGGAGTGGCTGGAGAGCTGCCGGTCAGAGAGGGACTGGGGGGTGAGAATGAGCCAGAGTGTGCCCAGGGGGCCAAGGAGGGCAACAGCATCCTGGCTGGTGTCAGCCCTGGCGTGGCCAGCAGGGACAGGGAAGGGATCTGAGCCCTGTGCT